CCCCTTCCCTCCCTCCCTCCCGCCCTCCCTCTCTCAGCGGTGTTGTGCTTTTAGAGGTGGAGAGTTCAGTCCGCACTTGGCCCAAATAGGTGGATCTGCCGCGTGCACGAAGTGCTCTCTCTCTCTCCCTCCCTCCCTCCCCTCCCTCCCCTCCCTCCCCTCCATCCGCTCCCCCCTTTCCCCCGGCCCATTCATACCTCCCCTCCTGCCTCCATCCTCGTTTAGGGCTGCAACTCATTTTTTTTTGAGGGGGTGCCATGTTGCAACTGGGATAGGATTTGTGCACGGTCCCTTAGGAGTAGGTGGGGATCATGCCGTGAATGCGGAGAGGCAGGGGGAGAAGGATCACTAGGGGGAGGTCAAGTGCCTGGTCAGGCAGGCAGGAAAGGTCGGCATCGAAACCTTGAGAGCCTGGAGTATAGGAGAAGGACGAAGGGGGAGGATGAGGAGGTGGGATCAGGAGGATCAGATGGTCAGGATTTGGTCCATCAGGACGACAGAGGAAGCAGAAGCGGAGTCACTGGGGTAGGGTGCAGCATGCAGGATAAATTTGCCAGCGCTAAGGAGGTTGTGGAGGAGGCAGACGTCCATGAGGGTCCTTAAGTAAATGGGAGGAGGATGTAGGTCGGGGACCCAATTTGCGGAGAAGAGGGTGGGCAGAGCGGATTGGGAGGGGGGCGATCAGGATGTGGGATTGAGAGGAGGAGGAAGTCGGGAATGCCAGCCAATCAGGGCGAGGATGTCGGAACCGGTGAAGCGCAGGGGAAAGAACGCCAAGGCGGCGGGGTAAGGAATGTGTACGGGGATCCGGACCAGGTGGGGAAGCAGAGATTTCAAGGCGTGAAGAGGGGCTGAGCGCGGAGGGGGGGGAACAGGTAAGCAAAAGGAGAGCAGGATAATGACGAAGGGCCTGAATCACGCCAAGCCGGCAGGGTAAGGAATGTGTACGGGGATCCGGACCAGGTGGGGAAGCAGAGATTGCAAGGCGTGAAGAGGGGCTGAGCGCGGAGGGAGGGGAACAGGTAAGCAAAAGGAGAGCAGGATAATGACGAAGGGTCTGAATCACGGGAGGGATAGGGTAAATGTTGATTTGCAGGTGGTGGAGAGAGAGCAATGAAGAGAGAAAGAGAGGCAGAGGAAGGGAGGAAGGGCAAAGCCGATCCGCAGGGGCTACATCCAATATTAGGGGAGCAGGCGCTCAAAGAGGATCCCAACGGTGGAGTGAAAGGCGTGGAGAAAGACGGGGAGAAAGAGGCGATAGTACTGGACAAGGAGAGAAGAGGGTGGGGACAAGTGGATTGTGGGGGGGAGATCGGGAGGGGGCATGGAGGGGACAAGTTGAAAAATGGAATCCGACAGGCCGAAGGGAGGCAATGGAGGAGTAAACGGAAAAACGTGAGCGGGTAGGGAAAACACAGAGACACACAGAGAGAGAGAGAGAGAGAGAGAGAGAGAGAGAGAGAGAGAGAGAGAGAGAGAGAGAGAGAGAGAGAGAGAGAGAGAG